TCTGCGCGCCGGGAGGCCAGGAGGGGGGCGCGCATTGGGCTGGGGGGAGGGTGGGGCGGCAGTTGCGCTTGGGCTGATGACCGCTTCGGGGTCCGCCTGGCGATTTTTATTTTATTCTGGGATTTGCTGCAGCAGCTCTTGGTTGGAAAAAGGAAAGAAAGAAATCTGCCCTGTGTGTGGGCCCCGCTGGGTTCCGGGGCGCAACAGGGGCACCCGACAGCAAAACGCAGGGCGGGGTGGCGTGGAGGGGCGAACCTCGTGGGCAGAGGAGAACCGCAGGGAGACCTTGGGCAAATGAATCCAAAATGAAAAACACACAGTACGCAGAGGCCGTTGTGAGCGCGCGGCAGTGGCGGAGGGCGGTGGAAGCAGCTCCAAAGATCATATTTGAAATATGGATCCCGGGGGCGCATATCTCCAGGCCGGTCGGAGCCCCGCGACCGAGCATGGGGCGGGGGCCGGGTGGACTTCTCCAGGCGGGCCTGGGGAGGCTGCCCTGACGTTGGGAGGGGGTGGGCCAGCCGACATTGTAGAAAATGACTTCTACCAAAGCTTCTCGCTTTGGTGCTTGCGACCCCCGCGTTCCGCAATGCGGAGCCGCGGCCCTGCGGGCGCGGGTGTGGCCCCAAGAAGTGCCCAGGACCTGCGAAGGGGCCAAGGCCTCGCGGCGCGCTGGGCCGGTTGCCCCGCCCTCGCACCCTGCCCGGCCCTCCCACCTGGAGCTCCAGCTCCAGTTCCGCGCGGCCCGCTGCGGAGGGCCGCGGGGACGTCAGAGGCTTCGCCACCCAAATGAAAGCTGACCCTTCCAGGCGGTGTGACAAAGAACAGAAACATGGGGGTGGGGACACAGAGGGCGGAGGAGCGCCCTTAGGAACAAAGCCATCCCTCTGAGAGGGTGCAAGGGGCCGAGTGCAGGGCTCCAACACAGCCTCCCGGCTCTTCTTCCCCCTACCCCACACGCAGCCCTACCAAGTCAGCTCCCCCCAAATCACCACTAAAAATGCAAAATCACAAACGTCAGTGCTGAAGTCAGAGACAAGTTCCCCCACTAAGAACAGAGAAGAGAAATGAGCTCTTGTCAAAGCCTGGGCAGATTTTGTAGTCGTTGCTAGTAAATTCTCCCTCGGCTACTTGAAATTCACCTCCGGGGTCCTAGAAAGCCACACCAGCTCAAGAGCTTTCCTAGTCAGGGACTAGCCCGGGAAATCACAGGCAGCCCCTTCCGGGCAGAGCTCAAACCTGGGCTCCGTGGGCCGGCAGTGGCATCTTCTTGCAGAGAGCGCCCATTCAGGGAGAGGATATGAAAAGTCGTTTATTTCCCGGGTTGGCGCAGGTCAGGGCCCTTTGGGATCCCGACTCAAACCACTCTCTGGTCCAGGGCCATTAAAAAGTTCTCGGGGTCTCCAGGGTCCACTTTTTCGGCCCTTTCCTCTAGGGGCGGGAGTCTGCGGTGCCGCGAGAGGCATTGCTCCTCTCTTGGGGCCCCTAAGGGCCCCTGGGGGCCCCAGCCTGAGATGGCACCCCGAAGGCTTCTGCCCTTCAGCAGAACCGAGGAGCGCGATCTGACCCTAGCTGGGAGGGGGCAGCGTCGAATGCGCAGACCGCCGACCCTTCTCCGGGGTTCCCTGTGGGGCTCGGGATATCCCGCGTCGGAGGCAGGGGCCCCAGCTGAAGGCTCTGGGAATCCCGAGTTTAGGTCTCAGAGGGACCAAGACGGGGTGGGATGGTAGGGGAGGCCGTAGGGGAGATTTCCCAGGAGAGGCTGACGGAGCGCATCAGGGAAGCTTCAGGGAGCTCGCAGTCCCCCCTCCCCCATTCTGTCTCTGCCTCCACCCTGCAGAGCATTCGTGCTCCGGCGGACCTGAGCTCCTTCCCACACCCGCCGGCAGGTGAGCGGTGGTCTAGGGCTGGGCCGCCGAGGTGAGGCTAGGGCTCTAGGAGTCGGCCTCTGTCCATATCCACCCACCCTCTACGAGGACAAAATAAATAACCTCGCGAGGGGGTGAGTTGCGGCGTTCGGCGGCTGTTTGTGTATTTCGGTCACTTTCCGCAGAAAAGTCAGGATCGGGCGCGGCCGGGGACTCCCCGGGCTTCTGAGGAGCTTCTGGCTCCCCCAAGTCTTGGGGAGCCTGGCGGCTGCTCGCACACCACACGGGCAGCTACAGAAAAGATCTGCTGTACTGGCCGGCGGGAGCCACCCTTCCTCCCCAGCTCGGCGGCAGGCCCAGCCCGGCTCCTGCGCAAACTCGCCGTCGAGGCACGGGGTGCCGCCGCGTGGCCCCCAAGGTCCCAAGCGCGGGCCCCAGAGGGGCGCAGGCAGAGAGAGCGGAGCCACAGCCTGAGGAGTCCGACGCCCCTGGCGGCGCGGAGGCTGCAGCGGCCGCTCGCCCTCCCCCGTCGCCCCCTGGCCTCTCCACCGCGGAAACACCCACTGGAAACAGATTTTCCAGGGGGTTTTCTAGCCAGGGGGCAGGCAGAGTGTGGCGAAGCTCAGACCCTCCCCGGACGACGGGACTATCCAGGACAAGGTCGCTGCTAGACCTCCCAACAGACAGAGAGCGCCGACGGCCTGGAAGTGTGACTGACACGCTGACAGCGCTTCCCGTGCCAGCCTCGGGACCCTTCCCCTTCCACGCTCGAGTTGTCCCATAGGAGAGTTCCTCGCCCTGGGCAACAGTGTCAGGAAGAAGCCCAAAAACACAGCAGGAGGAGAAAAACCTTTTCCCTGTGTCCCCCTCCCAAAGAATTCGCCTCTCCCAGCTTCTATTACCCCCCAGAGCACCTACTCTTGTCCCAAGGACTATAGGCGGGTAATGTTCCCACCTAGTCCAGGCGGCGGCCCCATTCCTCTGGGAATCTTGGGTTTGCGTCTCGAGCTTGTCAGAAAGCAATCGCTGCAGACTGAGCCCCTCTCTGATGCTGCCAGAAGAAGACTCCTATCCCCAGGACCCCTTCAGGGGAGGAGCCACGCGGGTCGTCTTGGGCAGCGGCCCGCCACTGCAGCAGGAGCCGCCGCCGGCCGCCGAGGGAGCTGAGAAGTGGTGGTGAAATGGAGTCAACGTGTGCGTTCTTAAACACCAGACTGTCTCCAGACTTCTCTAGGATTCCTGGGAGAACCCGAGCCTCGCGCATGGTTTGGGTGTTCGCTTCCGTACCTCGCCCCTCCCCGGCTCGCTCGAGCTCCCGCGCAGTCCCCACCTAGCATTCCGGGACGTGTGTCAGGGCAGGAGCGGAGACCCGGATGGCTCTTTGCCCGCCCCCCTTGCTCGTTCCACTCTTGCTCGGCTTTTGCTCTTTTTCTTTCTTCATGTACGCTCAGCCAAGAGATTGCGCAAGCTTCCTGCTCCCGGTCCTTCAAGGGCCCGGAGCCGGGGGCCCGGACACACCCCAGGGCAGGCGCGCCCCTGCCCCTCCCACTCGGGCCGCCCTGCCCCCTCCCCAGGTCCTCCCACCCCTCACCCAGACCCCACCAAGCTCCCGGCCTCGCGGGCGGCGCCCTCGGGAGGCCGCGTGGGGCGCAACAGCTCCCCCAGCCGGACGCTAGAGCGGCACGCCGGAACGCGCCGTCTCGCCGCCGGAGGTGCTAAACTTCACACTCCGCGGCTTCTCCAGCCGCGTCGGGAGGGCCTCGGCTCGGCTGCCTGTCGGCGACCAGGAGACGCGAATTTGTGACGAATGCTGGGCTCCTCGGCCATTCGGTTCACCTTCCCTTCGTACCGCCCTGCTCTGCCCCGGCTCAGCTTCAACGTCTTCTAGGCCCTCCCCACTCCCTCTTTCGATGCCCTTCCCAGGACTCCACGAAGTCCCCTCGGGCCCCAAAGCAGACCTGGACATCCCCTGTGCCCCTTCTCTGTCCTCCCCGCCTCTCGTCCTGCTTGATGGGACGGGGGGTCGGGGGTGGGGAGTGGGGTGCTGCTAGAAACCAGACATCGCGCCTCTGCCCCGCCGAGGAGAGGACCGAGGGTAAATTGGGAGCCGATCAGGATCCGGGGTGGGATCGGACTCGGAGCCCCATTCTGGAAAGGTTCTTGAGCGCTAGGGCCCCAGGCTGGCTGCTTTTCAGTCCCCTTTCGCGTCTCTTTGTGCTCTCCTTGGCGATCCTTTGGACCCAGTTTTCTCTCTTCTCCATGTCCTTTCTCTTCCGTTCCTTGCCTTCCTAAATGCCCAAAGCCTCGCGGGGCGTGGCGGCGGGGCACAGAGGGTGGGGGCGCGTGTTGCCCCTGCCCCCGATTCCGCCCCCTGCCGATCGTTTCCCATGTGTCTGCACATGATGCAATTCAGTGCAACTGGAAAGTGCAGTGGATGCTTCCGTGGCCCCCAGCAGGGGTCCCAGGGCGGTGCACACTGAGAATGAGAGGCGAGGGGGCAGGCCCAGGCACTGGGCTGCAGGGAAGGGACCGCTGGCGAGACCCTCCCGGCCCTGTCAAGCTCTCCACCCCTCTCCGCCCTCTGCCGACACACCTCTCCGGCCCAGTCCCGCTCCCTCCCTCCAGCCTCCCTCTCCCAGGCTCACGGATCCCTCTCCCCTGCACCTCCCCGGCGCCCTCCTCCTCCCGGCCCCCTCCCGCGCCCTTCCTCCTCCCCCCTGCCGCCTAGGCCCGGGGCCTCCGGTAGGCCGGGCTGCGCCAATCCCGGCCGCGGCCCGCCCCCTGACGCTGAGCTGGGCCCGGCGAGGCCCCGCCCGCTGACGTCCGGATTTGCATGAGTTCTTGTGCAGCCGCGGCCCGGGCTCAGTTGTCTGAGCGAGCGCGAGCCGGGAGCCGGGGTGGGCGCGGGCAGCGGCGGGCGGCCAGGCTGTGCTGGG